GACTGGATCATAGGGGAGGGTCCAGTGATGTGCTCCAAGAAACAGATTTTACAGGCAAGACAAAAATCCTGTTTACTTGATTGTACATCACAGGACACAGGACGCTAAACTCTGGAACAACCAAAAGCAGTGCAACTGAGGGGTGGGCAACACAGTAAACAGCTAACAGACCCAAGAGTAACAACCCCAAACAGGAAACAAAGAACTAGAAACCAGAGGCTTGCGCAGAATCACAAAGCCAATGGTAGGACCTTCTGACAAAACTGACATTGGCAGGGGCCTGAACATCCACCTGTTAGAACTTGACAAAAGTATATACAGATTAGGTGGTAACCTTACAAAGATGCGAGACCGAAGCTTGATACTGAAACGCCCAAGAAGCATTAACGCATCTGTTAGAGTGAGCAGTGACCAAAATGGGGGAACTTTCCTTTGCAGCTCATAGGCCTGAGAGATGGGTTGACAAATCCATCTAGCAATAGTGGACAGGGAGGCTGGTTGGGCCAGACAGGGACTCTTGGGGATGATGAACAGAGACTCAGGTTTGTGAACAGCAGCAGTCGCAGAGAAGTAAACCCTAACTGCCCCAACTATGCCCAAAACGTTGAGGGTAATTTCTTTAGGATATTTTGATGTATATAGGACACAAGGATGGTAACACAATGTCCTGGTTCAAGTGAAAGGAAGAGATCATCTCAGGGAGAAAGGAGGCCTTAGGCCTCTCACAACATTATCCTTATGGATAACAAGAAAAGGCTCCTTACGTACAGGGCCACTATTTCAGAAACATGTCCAGCAGAAGTGATGGCAATGAGGAAGGTCACTCTGTGAATGAGTAAAGGCAGAGAGATATCTCTTATTTGTTTTAAATGGCAGGTTTTGAAGGGCTGACAGAACCAGATTAAGGTCCAACAGTCACCGAAATATGAATAGGAGAATCCACATGGCCAAGCCCTTGCACATAAGCCTTCACAAGGGAGTGAGAGGCAAGCGGTTTCTGGAAGAGAATCACCAAAGCAGATATCTGACCCTTGATGGTACTCAAGGCCGAACGCTAGTCCAGGTCAGGCTGGTGGAAGAAGGATAAAATGCATCTAACCCAGTACCTCCTAGGATGAAACTTCCTGGCCTTACACCAAGCAAGGTAAATTTCCTAGCCTTAAAGAGCATAGCGAAGACAATGTCTGAAAGACCTCTGTCCATCAGGCCATTGGGCTTCAATAGCTAGACTGCTCCATCCAGCGACCAAGAAGCAGGGTGGAATATCAGTCCTTGTGACAGTAGGCCAGGATAATCTGGAAGTGCCCATGGAGAGTCAACCAGGAGTTTGAATAAGCCCGCGTACCAGGGCCTTCTGGGCCAGTGAGGCTCACCAAAATCCCCTTATCTCAAGCCTGCGAAAAAAGTCAAGGCAAAAGTTTCAAAGGAGGGAAAGTATAGATCAGGGTGAACTGATCCTACGGAGTCACCAAGGAATCCCCTGTGAAGGCTCAGGGATCCCTGGTACTGGCCATGAACCTGGTTGTTGTTGAACCCGGATGCCTAGAGATCCACATCTGGTGTCTCCCACCTGCGACAAAGGCCTCAAAACACCTCTGGGTTAAGGGACCACTCCCCAGGGTCCAGACACTGACTGTGGTAGTCCGCCTGCCAAATTTGCAAGCTTGCAATGTTTATGGTGGATAGGGCCAGGATGTGAAGTTCCACCTATGCCAGGATCAGGTTTGCTTCTTTTTGAGACGCACAAATTCTAGTGCCACATTGATGGCTAATTTTAGGCACAGCTGTGGCATTATCCTACTAAGGTGTACGTTTAATAAACTGTGATAAAACTAGCTTTATCACGAGTTAACTTTACTCAGCAGATCTCTTTGTTTTTCTCGGCTGCACAGAGGCTGTTTTAATAACCTGCGAAAAGAAAACTTATCACACGAAACAGCTGTGAAAGGCTGAGATAAGTTGTCACGGTGATCAGTAGAGAATGCAATGGGTGGAATGTATTCTGAGCTGCACAATTACATCCTTTGTGATAATCTACAATCCTCCTGACAGGATTGTTGTTTACTCTTCCAAACCACCCAATAACAATATTACAAAGCACCTCTATAGCAAAGTGCAACAGTTATTTATCCATTAAAATGATGAAAATTGCTAAAAAGCAGGATTTACATGTTCTGATTTGTTCAGCATGTACCAGTACAAAAACATGAATCAAACTACCAGAGGCAGCCACAATGCGAGGCAGTGATGGGGTTAAACATTCTAAAGGGGCACTCTGATGGAGCCAAGCAATGTGTGCAGTGGGCACTCTGACACTAGCAGCAGATATTAATGCATCATAAACGGCTTACAACCCCACCTGGAGCTCCTCTCGCCTGACCAGCGCGCCGATGACTCATCCCTGCTCCCCTGCTCCTGACTGGCCACTGCGGTGTTTTTTTTTTTTTCTTCTTACTTACCTCGCCGAAAAAAAACATAGCGCAAGCTTCGGCGCTAGGCTTTGGGGCATTTTGACAAGTACAAGTACTTGTCAAAATGCCCTGTATCGGGCCCGATTCCGATGCTAGCATCGGTATCGGGACATCCCTACTCTGAATAGAACATACCACTCAAACAGAGAAGAACTGAGTGACAGAGGAGGAGGTTCCTGTATCTTTGCTCAGTGCTTCTCGAGAAAAAGGCCTTTATCACCAGGTCTGACAGGGTGCTAAATCAAGGGTACTTTTCCCAATACTTATCCAGTGATAAAGCTGTTCTCTACTTTTCTCCCTTTATTAAACAGGTACATTCCCATTACTTTCTGTGTACTTATCACCAGGATGAGAAGAGGTGAGATATTTCAGTTCCTACATGACTTATCACGGGTTATTAAACACCATTTTCTAGACTTTTCACTTTGCTAAGGTGAGAAAAGCCTTCTCACTGCTTATCACACTCTTTCACAGTTTATTAAACGTACACCTAAATCTGGTTTGGATGACCCTGTAATTAAGAGGTCCAGCATTGAAGAGACAATCATATCACTGAGCTACAGGATGTTTCTCTGATATATCTCTGACTACCAGGTCCCCTGAACCGAAATCCTCTGTCAGGAGCACCTTCAAAAGCAGTCCGCTGGGGTCTGGATGCGGCATTCTAAAAACCAGGCAGTTGATTGCCTCACTATATAGTTGTATTGGAAAAGATTAAAAAGAGTAGAGAAGGGTCGTGATTGAAGGAAAGATTTAGAAAAGAGGTGCCAGCAAAAAAGTTCCTTTTACATGGCAAGAAAAGAAGTTGCAAATAACTAAGGTATGGTGGTGGTAGGAGGTCTTTGATAGCGTTGAGCTCCCGTAGGGGGCAGAATAACCTGAAGGTAACCTGTGTCCCTCTGTGGACAAGAAACTCACATATTAAATTTATTAAAGGGTAAATTTCAGAAGGCACAACAATGCAGAGAAATTGACAGCAGTATTAACAATGAGGGATGCAGAATGCAACTAAAAACCTGACAGAACTTTTATCCTCATATGTGAATTCTTTTTTCTTTTCTTGGAGTTGGGATTTAAATATAGTTGTTACCGTTATTCGACACTGCGTTGTTAAAGGAAGTTAAGTCACAAACAATTAACAAATTTTTTTAAAGTTGGGTAAAGACACAAATTGCATTTAAATATAATAGGGTCTGTTATCCTGTGAACAGGTGGGGATCCATTTTACATTATAAGCAAAATGGAGCCGATACAGAGTATATGGGGGTGGGTACTCTTAATCGCCCAAATGCTCCGATGCCTAGCCCCATACCCGAACTTCCGGTATCAGGAAGCCAGGCAGCGAGTCATTACATGCTGCCTGGCTTCCTGCTTGGCCAGGAAGCTGGCTCCATACTCCCTCGTCACTTGGTGATGAGGGGGCATTGAGCCAGACAAATCAGGAAGCCGGGCAGCATGTAATGACTTGCTGCCCGGCTTTCTGACTGGTCGGGAAGATGGCCAATGAGGAAGTTGGACGGCGAGTCATTACCCGCCCCCCTGATTGGCCAGAAAACCGGCTTCATGCTTCCTCATCACCTGGTGACGAGGGAGCATGAAGCCGGCTTCCCGGCCAATCATTACGCGCCGCCTGGCTTCCTTAATGGGACTTCTGGTATCGGTATTGGCAAGTACTGAAATAAAAATATCCGTACTCGATACCGAAAAAACGGTATCGGTGCATCCCTAATGATTACCTTTCAACCATTTTTGAAAAAAACCTGGAAGCCTGTTTAGAAAACTGGAATGAGTCATCAGTGCAGTCACTTTTTCCTTATCAGATGGCATTTTATCAGACAAAAGGGCCTTAGATAACCCACAGTGCTCTGGGAACCTTCTGTCATGCATTAAAACATAACTAAATCCAGTAACAAAAATCGAATTTACTGCAGCTTACCAGTCTATAGATGTGTTAGCTACATTTGTTTTCTTTTTTAGGGTTAAGAAAATTTTGAACAAGTACAGAAAACACCTGTTTATCCCGAGAGAAATACACTGTCCTTGTAACTTCCTGTGCACTGCACTGAAGACAAAAACATGTTATATCTACCACTCTCCTCAGCCACCATGTATTAGAGTTGAACAAAGGCAGACATATTAGTAGTCCAATCTGGATGGCAACCATGTCTGCCTTGTGGTGGTGAATGAAGGGTTTACTTAATTTTTCCACGTGACAAATCTGCATTTTCATTCATTATGATAATGAAGATTAAATGTTTGTATTTATAAATATTTTAAGAAAACAAGTCAACAAATTACATAGGGTATGCTTATTTTAACGACTGTAAGCTAGGCTTAGGTGTCATCTGTGACAAATACAGTCGTGGCCAAAAGTTTTGAGAATGACACAAATATTAATTGTCACAAAGTCTGCTGCTTCAGTGTTTTAAGATCTTCTTGTCAGATGTTACTCTGGTATACTGAAGTATAATTACAAGCATTTCATAAGTGTCAAAGGCTAGTTTATGCAGTCAATATTTGCAGTGTTGACCCTTCTTATTCAAGACCTCTACAATTCGCCCTGGCATGCGGTCAGTCAACTTCTGGGCCATAATCCTGACTGATGGCAGCCCATTCTTCCATAATCAATGCTTGGAGTTTGTTAGAATTTGCGGGTGGATTTTTGTTCACCCGCCTCTTGAGGATTGACCACAAGTTCTCAATGGGATTAAGGTCTGGGGAGTTTCCTGGCCATGGACCCAAAATGTTGATGTTTTGTTCCCCACGCCACTTAGACATCACTTTTGCCTTATGGCAAGGTGCTCCAGCATGCTGGAAAAGGCATTGTTCGTCACCAAACTGTTCTTGAATGGTTGGGAGAAGTTGCTCTTGGAGGATGTTTTTGTACCATTCTTTATTCATGGCTGTGTTTTTAGGCAAAATTGTGAGTAAGCCCACTCCCTTGGCTGAGAAGCAACCCCACACGTGAATTGTTTCAGGATGCTTTACTGTTGGTACGACACAGGATTGATGGTAGCACTGACCTTTTCTTCTCCGGACAAGGTACTTTCCGGATGCCCCAAACAATCGGAAAGGCGATTCATCAGAGAAAATGACTTGACCCCCAGTCATGACTTGACCCCCAGTCCCCCAGTCCAATCCCTGTACCTTTTGCAGAATATCAGTCTGTCCCTATTGGGTTATTTTGGAGCGAAGTGGCTTCTTTGCTGACCATCATGACACCAGGCCATCCTTCAAAAGTCTTCGCCTCACTGTGCATGCAGATGCACTCACACCTGCCTGCTGCCATTCCTGAGCAAGCTCTGCACTGGTGGTGCCCCGATCCCGCAGCTGAATCAACTTTAGGAGATGGTCCTGGCGCTGACGGGACTTTCTTGGGCGCCTTGAAGCCTTCTTCACAAAAATTGAACCTCTCTCCTTGAAGTTCTTGGTGATCCGATAAATGGTTGATTTAGGTGCAATTATAGAAGCAGCAACATCCTTGGCTGTGAATCCCTTTTTGTGCAAAGCAATGATGACTGCATGTGTTTCCTTGCAGGTAACCATGGTTAACAGAAGAACAATGATTTCCAGCACCACTCAACTTTTAAAGCTTCCAGTCTGTTATTCTAACTCAATCAGCATGACAGAGTAGTCTCCAGCCTTGTCCTCGTCAACACTGACACCTGTGTTAATGAGAGAGTCACTGACATGTCAGCCGGTCCTTTTGTGGCAGGGCTGAAATGCAGTGGAAATGTTTTTTGGGGGATTAAGTTCATTTTCATAGTAAAGAGGGACTTTGCAATTAATTGCAAATGATGTGATCACTCTTCATAACATTCTGGAGTATATGCAAATTGTCATCATACAAACTGAAGCAGCAGGAGAAAATTCATATTTGTGTCATTCTCAAAACTTTTGGCTGTACATTTAATTAGAATTTAAGAAATACATATTTGTATTAAATGTTTTTATAGCTGCCTGGAGTTCAGCTTTAAAGTATATTCATAAGGTCTGTGAAGTAGCTTTAGTGTTTGTGTTTCTTTGGCTACAAAATGAAAGCTTGTCTTGTTTTTTCACAATTTAATGTGAACCAAATTTGTTAAAGTATGTGATCAAATTTAAAAAGTTTTACTTACAGACCAACATTGGCATTTGGTGACAACATGTAAACGTTATTCTCGCAAAGTGGATATATGATGATCGCTTTTCCCCAATATACCAAGTGTGCAGCAAGCTGGAACACCTAGAGAAAACATGACACATGCAAGGTGATCATCTGTTTCCTAAGAAAAGGCACTGTAAGAACTTTTTTTTTATTATTCAGAGGTAATTTAACAGCATTAATTTAGACTGACACACACACACACACACACTTCAAAATGGAGTTGTGTGTAAAACTGCATTTTCATGTTATAAGGATAACAAGAAGTGCCCATACAATACAAAGTGATATCTATCCACAGCCCGCCCCTACCCCCCCCCCCCCCCCCCTCACAAAAAAAAAAAAAAAAAAAAAAAAAAACACTGCTGAAAATATGTAAACACTCTAAGGAGCAGAAAAAAAGTAAAAAGATAATAGTTGCAAACCCTGCATATATTAAAAAGGTAGCTACTGTGTTTTACTGCTGTGGATATCTTAAAGATCATGTAGACTCTAACAATGAACTTCTTTTATTTGCACTGCTAAATACTCTATTTCTATTTAAAGTTTTTTTTATATTTGTTCAAAAACTGCTAAAAATACCTGTTGATTTAGCCAGATTTTTACCAGATCTATGCTTTAACAGGTTTTTTTAAGGCCAGCCATAGTAGAGTTGAAATTACTGTCCATGTTGTTCATACCCTGACTTGGGAATATTAATCCTCATGTCCCATCGCACTCCTGACCGGAGAGATCCCAATGCAGCCAGGCGGGTGCGGCAGCGACAAAGGATGCTTCCGCTAAGTATAGATGAATAAGAGTAGTCACTCGCACTCCAAAAGGTAGTAAACTCAATAATATTTATTGACTCAAAATGATGCACATCTCCTTAGCAATGTTCTGTGACCATGCAGCCCCTTCCTCAGGCAAACAGAGAGTTTGCCTGAGGAAGGGGCCGCATGGTCCCGAAACGTTGCTAAGGAGATGTGCATTATTTTGAGTCAATAAATATTATTGACATTACTACCTTTGGAGTGCGAGTGACTACTCTGACTTGGGAATAGGTATGCAAGTTAAACTGAATGTAAAATATGTTTAATGATGTCTTAGATATACATGCAAATTAGCTCAGCTCAATGTAAATAACTTATCAATGTGTATTAAACTTTAAAAAAACGAAAACAAATGTTAATTTTCATTTTGCACTTATATATTCACATTGGGGAAACCAAAGTTTCTCATTACATACTCAGGATCCACTATGGCTTTGCTTTACTGTTACTTCAACTCATGGCCAACTCATTTGAAAACACTGGCTAATAAATCCTTTTTTTGCAGTCCATTTTGCTTGAAACAGCCAGAAACTCTAGAAAGGACTCCTTCTCTGAGGAAGTCCCCTGTATCAACAGGGTGTCAAGGACTCCTCCCCAGCCCAACACGTTGGCATCCATAGCAAGGATCCTGCAGCAAGGGAGAAAGGAGCCACCAGGCCAGGGTCAGACTTCTGCTGGACTGGAATACTCAAATTTAAGGTCAGAGAATTTGAAGTTTATGCTGTGGAAGAAACAAACCAACAAATTCTGGCCTGTGCTATGTCCAGGACTAGGCCCAGATACTCCAAACGATGAGTTGGTTTCAGCGACGATTTCTAAAAGTTCAGGATCCATGGATCCAACCGAACTGCAGTATCGTCTGGATAAAGTCACATTATTTAACGGGTCACGCACTGATTGTTTCCTCAATAGTAGGTGGTCTAAGTATCCCACAAAGGGGATGCAGAAGAGCACGGTAGGGCTAATATAGGGACTAACAGAAAAAAAGAAAAAACATATAAACAGCGCTCTCGGATGGGCAACAAATTAGCTTAGAGGCGTGTGTGCAGCCCTGGGAAACAGGAGGAGAACCTGTGGATTGTAAATATTCAAAAAACCAAGAAAGGGCGCAGAGAACACTGGCTAGTTAACAAAGTGGTGATGAAAAACTGAAGGTGGTGGCACTTACGTGTGTTTGCCAGGATCTGGAGATGGGCGGCCGGTGTGGAGGATCGGGGCACTCGTGGTGTGGTGTCCGACTGTGATCGATGTATTGATCCAAGAGGTATATCCACGGGAGAGTGTAGATGAGAAGAGGGGACTTCGTCTGAAGTGCCGTGAGGGGTCTGTGCGGTGTGGGAGAGAAGCAGGGGGATCGCTGTGGTATCGGCAATAGGCAGCGGGCAAAGGACGGGGCTGTAACAGCCGCAGCTGTGTGTGTCTCAGCGAGTGGTAACTGTCAGATCTGCTGGGGACCATGTGCAGAAGCAGCTGGCGGTTTTTGCTTTTTACAAGTGCTCGCAAAGGCAAACATACATCCCCTCGCTTTGGAAAGTGAGGAAGCACCGTCATGTGCCAGGCTTGTCTGAGGATTTGGCAGACTTCGAACCCCAAACCTTGCAGGTAGACTAGGAGCCAAGCTTGGGGGGGGGCGTAGGGAGACAGGCGTGAGGGGGGGGGGGGGGGAGGGGTCTGGAGTTGGGAAACAGAAAGAGGGGAGAGTAGACTTTGCACTCTGTTCCTTAGGCTTCTTCTGGTAAAAAAGATGGGTGCTCTTGCCAACAGTAGCATCCTTGATAATTATGTCAAGAGCACATACGAAGAGATGTTCTCCTTCGAAGGCTGTGTGGAACAGACACTACTTAGATGTGGCATCTGCTGTACAGCAGTTTAGCCAAAGTGTCCTACGCATGTGTACTGCGATGAGATCCATGCAGGATACAGCCCAGGAAGCCTCTTGCAAACAGTCACAACTGAAGGTTAAAGCTTCAGCCATTTGCTTCACGCCTTCTATAAGCGAGAGATCAACCGCAGCAGTTATACAATTACTTTATAAAGTGCAGTTAGTGTTGTTAAACCCACATACATAAAAAACTATATATATGGTGCTGCAGACCTATGGAGCTACCTTTGCATGCGAGCTCCTGGCTAGCATATACAGATGAATCTCATGTGTCCATAGTTTCAGCTGGATGGCAAACCACTCCCCTCTCCTCCCAGCGCTGTATCGTTTTTAGCAGCTGCATGTTTAGCACACCGGACAAGCGTTTCCTACCCGGAAGATCGGGAAAGTGGAGCTCTATGAGCTGGCAGCGGTGTAGTTTTCACCCAAATATCCAGCCGATTTTGTGCTGGGGAATGGTCAATGCATTCCATGGGAGCGTTTAATACTACTTTAAGTCACATAGGGTGTTCAGTGTTCTAGAAATGGCTTCCAACCACTTATTGGTTGGGTCCCTAAAGTCAGGTGCATCCTCCTGCTGTATGGTGGTTGCTTTATGAGGAGGGACACTGTAGATCCATAGTGGGGATAACCCACTTTTGTACAATATCCTTCCCAAACAGGTACTAGGCTAATAAGTGTCTGAGGGGTGCAACTTGCAAGGGTATTTCCAATCTATAGCAGGTGCAATGGGCAGGTTTTTGTGGACTTAGGTGCTCTAAAAGACCGAAACGGTACTGGTAGAAGCAACATGCTAATACTTTAGTTTCAGAGTGGAGCACACCACATCTAAGAGCCGAAAAGGTCTCTTTTTTTTGTGTGTAAATTCTTTATTTCTAAGAGATTTTTCATTTTTCTTTGTACATAAAACAAACAAACAACTTTGGGTGTCAACAATGGCCCGTCATGGGCTGAAAAATGTGCGTACATATACCACACATACATATGTAGGGCACACCAAAGGCCTTCCAGGAGCTAGGTGTATTGTCCAGGTATATAGTGCTGACAAGTAACTATGGGTTACGTCAGAGACCCAGTGTGGTCCGTTTATAGAAAGTAAAGTGTGCATGTGATACATTTCGCAGTACAGGTATAACAACACACACAAAAAAAAAAAAATAATGTGAATGAGGGAAGGAGGTAGGTGATATAGTAGGACCCGTATGGCTAAGGGTGTGCTCTAAATTTGGCCGGGGTATTGTTGAGGGAGCTTGTAAGATCCTCCATAAGATATATATCTTGGATCCGGGCCAGCCATTGATGGGCCGTAGGGGGTTCGGGGTTCCTCCAAAGGGCTGGGATACAGGCCCGGGCGGCATTGATGAGGTGGCGTCCGAAAAGGTCTCTTGACTTGAAAGTAATAGCAGAAGACTGACTCCTCCAGGAAAAGTCTGACAAAGTGACTTAGAATCAGATTTTTTGTGGTTGATGGCTCATTTTAGCCTCAAAGGCTGTGGGTAAATAAGACACAGACCCTGCAGGGGAAGGCGTGGGAGTGTACTTGTGGCCTCTGCAGTCAGAAAACAAATAAGAAAAATGGTGCTAGTAAAAATAATTTTAACAGCAGAGCCGACAGTATCCTGGAATGTCCGACACTTTTTTTGCATAAGGTTTATGCAGATATAAATGGCTTTTATTAGCCCTTAATTATCCCAAATTAACCCTTTTACTTCCAAGCTATTCTTTTACTATTTTTTCTTTCTAATGCATTTTTTTTTCGTCTTTTCCTCTCCTAATTTTTGGTCTGCCACAAAAAACTTACACAAAAGTCATTAACTATTTTTTTTACTACACACAGAGGCATGGGATAAAAAGCAACTGTGGGAGTTAGGTGACTGAGCTGTGAAAAATAATACAAAAAATAAGAAGGTTAAACTTCTCCAGAAACAATCTAAAGGAAACCTAAGGTCAAGTGCACACAGAAGTGCCTGCTATACAATACCATTTAAGAGGTGAATTACTATACTTGCACTGGCTGCTGGTATACACTATGGATACCCCACCATGTCAACAGTATCCTCTGGAGTTTGTCATACTGTAAGTTACCTCGGCTGCTTTGAAAACGTGACACTTCCTTTATAGCAGAAGCACACTGCTGACAATCAACTTTATATGACTTGCCTCTATGGAGGTGGGGGGGGGGTTTAATTGTAGTTTGAGTACTGTACTTTAAAGCCCACTTCTAATGTTGAATTTTCAATATGCTTTGCACCCAATGCACAATACCAAAATACTTTGCTAGTTAAAGGTAATAGCCAGCATGCACTTATATGAAGATTTTTGAGGCACCTGCAGCAAGGCGAGGTCAGCATCTTGGGCCAGCTGCTGAAGATTCTTTACAGCGGTTGCAGACTTAATAATTCTCACTAAAGCTGGAGAACAATCCAGTGGAAGTTCATTCAGTAAACTTTTTTCATCCTTAAGCAGCAGCAGAGCATGATATGGCCTGGAAAAAAACATCATTTAGCCACAATTAATGAGAAAAAAAAAGCTTTTTTTTACAATTACATTATATCTTTTTATGTGCATAACACAAAAGATAAAAATAATTTTTGCAGACAATACTGCCAAAGAACACCTAGTTTGTAATGCAATGTATGTACTTGCTTACTTGCTATCGACCCCGTGCGGCCGATAGCATTGCGGCCGGAGGGCATGGCTACTCTGCCATTCACTTCAATGGACCGCCGCGCCCCCTCCTGCCCCACAAAAAAGTGAGCTGGCCGCAATGCGAGGCAGTGCAGGCCGGAATGCACTGCATCTGGTGTGAACGAGGCCTAAGTATGACAGCCAGGAAACTAGAATTCAAAAATGTAGAATGTGAAGTCTCAGTGGCAGCCTTTATGTCTCTCTGAGGAAAGGTTTCCTTCAAAGCCATACCACAATTTGTCAATCCCCACAAATTGCCATGTCATAGTTTGCACATCACAATTTAAAACGGTTAGGGTTTACTGGATATTTTAGCATCCTACAAGCATCCCATTTATATAGCAAAATGTTCAAAGGGTCACTTGGTATGATTATATGATACGATTACATGCGGTCTGGAATAAATCACTGTTGCTGGATGCAGGATAGATGCGTCCAGCGACAGTGACCTTTTCCAAACTGCATGTAATTGTATCATATATCATTATATGTGGACTGCTTGCTTACAGATGCAGCCGCTGTCATCCGCTCATTAACTTGAATGGGTATAGCGCCCGCATCTAAATGAGACATCTATTGTGAATGAGGCCTTAGCCCTGCTTCCACAGGGGATATTTTATGGTCCATAATATGCATCATTCACAACAGGAAGTTTTATCCTGTTGCACTTTGTGATGGTAGCCCACACAACTGTCTTCCTGAACTAGTGGAACAGCTTTGATTTTTGCTATACAGTCTGAAACTGTCTACTAGACAAAACTATAAATGAAAAAAAAAAATAAGTTAATAAATATTTAAATATTCGAAGTTGCCAAAAGTTTTATACATAATACACTAATGTCTGGAAATATTACAACAAAAATTACCTTACCTTATAGATTTTAAGCTTTTCTCTATCGCTTCTGGGGGAATAAAGTTTGCTCCAACACAGTGTATCTTATGTGGCAAACAAAAGCTTACTTCAAGCCAGTTATTAATATGAAGTCGTACCACACCAGTTGTACAAAGGCTGTAACAACACAAAGTAACCATCAGAAACTGTGCCCTTGGATGTCTATAAAAAGAGTTGCTTTGTGTGGCCCCACTTCCACTCAGGTGGCACTCGGTTTACAATGATTCAATTTGCACTGATTCAAAATCTTTTCTGTGAGTGTTGTAAATTGAACAAATATATAATGTATGTCAATGGGAAGTGAGGGAGTTAGGTTCCAGGCCTCTCTCATAACAAGGAATGGTTCTAAATAGAAACTGGTGTAAACTGAAACCCAGTAAATTATGTAAGCCAGTGGAAAGTGAGAAAGTTAGGTTCCAAGCCCCTCTCATAGACATAAATTGATATAAGTAGCATAATACAGGTACAGTTTATTTAAAGCCCCTTGTGTGAGCTCATGCAGCAACTTTATATATAATGTACCTGTATTTTATTATTTATGCCAATTTTGAGAAAGGTCTGGAACATAACTCCCTCGCTTCCTATTGACGTACAATATATACCAGGTTTCAATTTACACCGGTTTCTATTTACAGCCATTCACTCAGGAACCTAACCCAGGGAAAATTGAGGGCTACCTGTATTATTAGTTTTCTATTTTTTTCTTATATTGTTATAATGAAAACTTGAAGCCTGTTTTGTAATGTATTTTTTTAGCGACTTTACTTATTTAACGTTACTTGTTTAAAATGAAGACGGAAATATGGGAGCTGCCACTGTTGGCTTGATTGTAAAGGTGCAGTCTCTGGGGCTGTCATGATACGTGCTTCACTAATTAGTGAGCCACTCATGTGGAAAAAAAACATGGAGGATGGATTTTGGACTTTTTTAGACTTCACATGCGGCATGCTTTTTACAAAATAGAGATTCACAGGGAAGCCCCGGTAAGCAGCGGCAGCTCTCATAGTTTTGATCTCACAGTTTTCAAAACAAAAAGGGGCCTATTCATTAACACTGGACAAAAAATATGCTTCTTTTAACAACCACACAGGACTCAAACTTCTTCAATAAATGAAAGGTAAAACCTGATAAGACTGCTACTATGAGCATCCCATTTTCTTTTCCCCAATTTGTATGAATTCTCTCAAATACATAAATAAAATGACCAACTCTAACTGCTAGGGTTTGTCATAAGTAAAATTCCAATGATCTCTATTCATTTAAACATTATAACTAGGAGAAAATTCAGGGGGAGAAGTAAGAGGGCCTAGCCATACCTATGAATTGCAGTGCAGAATTTTACATGTACTGGGGCATTCAACTGCACCCAACGCACTAAAGCAACACACCTATGTACCGAGGCACATTAATACACTGCAGTAACAGTGTGGTGTGCTGTGTTAGGAAAAATAGTGCAAGTGCAGTTTTTTTTTGTGTGTTGGCAGTCCAAACAAAATAAATGAGCTGCCTTATTGTAACACATGTTCGTTAATGTATAAATGTGGGCCTATAAAAAAACAGTTTTTACTTCCTATATTAAGAACAACAATTTACATGGTAAAATAAAATTCCATGTCACATATTACACGATGTGTAACAATAGCAAACATGCTTAGAAAACAAACATTTAAAAGGAGAACTATGGGCTTAGGGCTTTTCCCCATAGTTCTCCTTAGGGTAATGGGAGGACACAAACTAGCATCCTCCCGTCACCCTAAGCTCCGTATACCGTGAGCTACAGCTGAAGCGGATCCCGACAATTATGCGTGAGTGACAGCTGGCTCTGCCTATCTAGAGGCAGAGCCAGCTGTACCCGCCCCCCTCCCCCATTCGTTCCGCCAGTCAGCGCTGGAGGATCGGAGCGGGGAATCCAGCCCCTCCCCTGTCACGGCAGAGAGCCATGACAGGATCGAGAGGTGAACTCTCGATCCTGATCTACTGAGCTGACCTGTGACAGTTTCATTGTCACAGGTCGGCTACAACTATGAGGTGAGTGAAAAGCACTCACCTCATAGTTCTCCTTTAAATAATGTTGTAATTACTGATTAGATGTAACTGCAATATCATTCAAAACAAACAAACAAAAGCCCCTATTTCACAGAGGACCTAAACATGCCACACCTGTCATAGGCTTCCTTAAGGTCTCTTGCCAGCTTGCACTTTGGTAAAATATGGTGAAATGGTGACTGTGGTCCCCCATCTGGGAAAATAAAAGGTTTTTAAAATTTTTGTACACAACCACTAGATATACACTAATAAAACATACAAAAAAAAACTATTTATGAAACTACTTAGTTAAATACTACTGAGTTAAAAAAAACTGAGTAAGATTATTTTTTTGCCTTGTAAAAGTACGCTGAAGTTTACACAGTTTAGCTTGTATTGCATATAATGAGTCAAACACTGAGGACAAAGAATGATAGCCACTGTGGGGAAAAAGCTTCTCTTCAACAAATATCTCTGATGGAACACTTTTGCATGTCCCCTTAACACGATGTCAGCATGTCAATGTTTGTTTTCCACAGATACCTCTATAATATACTACACCTAAAATACTTAAAGTGTAAGTACTTAGTCCCTTTTTAATCCCCAAGCAATGCCTTCATTCTTTAATATAATTTCTATAGTCACAAAATACCTGGTGATCCTGCAATTCCCCTCAGGGAGCCCTGTTCTGCTTGCAACAGACCACACTAGGAACGGATTGCCTTGCATTCTGGGAAAATAATACAATGAGTTTTGTGAATAGGCAAGGGAAAGGGAGGGCTAACAATCTGATCCCTACAGCAGGAGGTGCATCTCTGATTCCTGCAGTGTTGAAAAATCACAACTGTATGGAGTATCCGGCATCACTAAAGGGACGTTTTTTACAATAACCAGCGGCCAGCAGGATGTAGGAAATTCTTCATTAGCGGTAACTTTTGTAACTGGTGCTCTGTAGCCCACAAAACAACTTTACTGAAGTTCAGCCTATGTACATTACACTTTACATATTCTTAACAAGCAGTAAACAGCTTTAAAACAAGCAAGGTGTTTTTGTTGAGCTGTTCATTCTCAAAGATCCTAATAAAGACTCCACAGTGCCAGTCACTTTCTGACAGCTTAGATATTAGCTGCTGGTTGTTCACATTAGAGGGCTGTTTAGAGTTTCTGCTGCAAACAGAAAGGAATGGGGAAAACGCTCAATAACTGTGCTGTGAACTTTAACAAATTTTGGCTAAAAATGGTACTATGGGCAAAATGCAGATAGTACCAAAACGTGCCTCCCTAGTTACTCTCCTCCCTGCTGGGCGCTGGTCTGTGTTACCACCGATCCCCGCTGCTCTCCCCCGCTTGTGTTGGCAGAGGCAGCAGGGATCAGAGGGGACACAGACCGATGCCCAGTAGGGAGGAGAGAAGCTGTCAGGAGGCCGAGCTGGACGTTGCAGGGAGGAGACAGCTGAAATGACTTAGGACATAGTAAGCTTACCGTGCCCCTAGTCATGAATGTTCATTCATAACAGGGGCTGCAGAAAAAGAGAGATTTAGAACTGTGTGTCCTCAATCTCTTTTTCTATTTTAAAAAGGGAAATATCAGGGGTCTGTTTAGACCCCTGATATTTCCCCAAAGCCCTTAAGAGTAAAGTAAAACAATTAAAATAAATAATTTAAAAAAAATGTAAAAAGGTTGGGAAAAACAGTCATTCGGTTTCGGTCTGACAATTTTTTCATTTTTGTTTCGGTCTAAAAATTTCATTTTGGTGCATCCCTAAAAATGAAATTTCTTAGCAATGCTTACAGATGCATATGTCAAGGATTGAAATACTTTAGTGTGCATGATCTGTGCACAGGTTCCACTTAAAATAAGAGAGTGGATGCATCATTCCAAAAGGATGAAGAGTTATATGAAGAGTTATACATATTGGAATTTACCTACATTGATTTTCCTTTTTCATTCTAACTGCAGCATTTTAATATTTTGCAGCACCTATAAATATGCAGTTAATAATAATTCTTAAAAAATTGCCCAGAGGGGACAAGAATAACTACAAGTAAACTAGCATTACCTTAAGGGCCCATTCACACCAGATGCAATCCGTTGCGTTTTTGAGCTGCATCAAAAACGCAGTACAATGATTTCCAATGGGATTCTGTTGTTCTGTTCACACCAGACTAGTCCGTTCCGATGCAGCCAGAAAAAGTACTGCTTGCACTATTTTAGCTGCATCAAAACGCGACTGAATGCATCAAAAACGCATGCAAATGCAACGGTACGCAACTAAAAAATAAAAACCCACAGATTTAGCAATGTCATCTTCTGGGGACTTCCTGTGAGTTGGTAGAAGAGATTAGGAATGGAACAGCTCTGGAAACATGGCAGACATGGATGCTAATCTAATAATCAAATATCTCTGACCGTCAGCAAATGGTGCACCCAAAAACTACGTTATTATTATATCATAATAACCTCCTACGTTGGTAGAAGAATGGCTATAGCCAACACTAACACCAGGCCATCAAACAAGGGAAGAATGCCTGAGCTAGAAAATGGAGGAAAGTGCTGTGACAGGAAGAAGGAAGCGACATATGGTCTGATTTGCATTTTGAGGGGGAAAAAACTGCATCGGAACGCATCAAAAACGCGGTAAAACGCATCGCAATGGCTAAAATGCATGCATATTCAATGCAGTTTTGGTGTGAATGAGGCCTAACAGTAAAAAAGGAAAAGTGTCCAGCGGGGGCAAGAGTCAATTGGCGTTACCTTAACTTTTAAATTATAATATTAAAGTAGAATTACATTTTCACAAAAAACCCTGCTGATTGGCAGGATGTCTATGGCAGAAGAGACCATTCAAGTCTTTTCTGCCATCAAAGCTTCTACCTGTATTTTTATTCTCTGTACGTTGAGGCACCCATGCACAGCTCAGAGCACAGACCAGGCATGCACGGGTGTTATGTCATCCAGGCATGACCAATCAAGCGCCAAACACTCGAAAACCCGAAAAAAGTCCAGTAGGCAAGTCTGCCATAATGTGCTAATATGCAAACTAACACATTATTACTAAAAGCTCCAGGGGGGGCTTTTTTTAAATGCCTGTACTTCTGCTTTATGTCTGGTTGCACTAAAAATATAGAGAATATTTTTATTGGTTTCTAGAAACACAACCTCTCCAAGCTCTTTTCTGTATATCACAAAATAATTTTTCCAGAATAAAAGCAATTCTAATATAATGTGTTCCTCTTGCACTTTGGAGACTATGGAGAATTCATAGATTAGGTACCTCATCACTGGATACTTTACTTGAAGCTCAAGGAATTTCAGAGTAATGTACAAACATAACACTAGATGGCAGTGTAGTCATTGTGATGCAATGGATACATTTTAAAGCCCATTTCCAACTTTGCAGGCCAGGGTACTGATTGTCTTGTAAGAATTTGATGATTCTAAAGAACTCCGGGGACAAGAAAACGTAACCCTTGCAATGGGGTAACCCCCACACTGCAAGGGTTAAGTACTCAAATTCATCTAGGGTTTAAAATAACAGATATACTCACCTGAACCTCGGCTACTAGACTGGTCCCTGTAGCTTCTCTCACTCTCCGCTCTGGCAATGGAATGTCTCTCGGTGTCCTCACGTCCAATACACTGTATTGGACATGATGATACAAGCCGCTCACTCCCAAGATGGTTATTGGAGGATTACAGTGCAACATCTACTGCAGGGTCTCTGTGGACCCTGGATGGCATAACCTGTGTAGGCTTACAGCTGTTGAGCACATATTCTGTACTGTAATTCTCCTAACATCCTTTAAACAGTGCAGGAGGTACAAAGAACAAAAGGGCAATAGTTGTAGTGCACATTCAAGTGCAGCATAGTTTTGCAATCAGGTAAACAACTTTTGAATTGGACTAATATTCTATTCATCTTTAGCAGTGTACGCATAGAATCGTCTACCTGTTTTATCTTGATCAATCATTTTCAGCCTGGAAGCTGGGGATTGCTAAAGCCCACCTCCGCAACTATAATATTCAATCTGGAGAACAGTATAAACATGGGCAGGGGGTGAGATCCACTATTGAATTTGACCTGTCACGGTCCCCTATAGGAGCTCACCATAGAGCCCCTTGAGTAGACTAAGAACGTCGTGTAATTACTGAGACAACGCCACCTGTCACAGCGGTCACTAACTGCAGCTTCTGTGACAGAATTTCTGTCACAGAAGCCCTGGGTCCTATTGTCCGGAGCGTCTTATAGACTGCAAAATACGATATTTATAAATGATATGGAGTTGGGGATTAAAAGTACTATTTCTGTGTTTGCAGATGACACCAAGTTATGTAGTGGAATACAGTACTTACAGGTTGTCTCCAACCTACAATCAGCTCTGAATGCACTGTGTGATTGGGCATCTATTTGGCAAATGAGGATTAATGTTGATAAATGTTAAGTTATGCACTTGGGGACTAAAAACATTTTCAATTTATTTATTTTAAACTTTTTTTTTGTATTTTAATGCTGGGAGCCATACCCAGCCTGCTATTGGAGGCAGAGGAGCCGCGGCCGGACCAGGAGACTGGAGAATCTTCCGGACCGGGGAAGCCGACGGAACGGCTGAAGAGGAAGCCGGCACATCAGCGGAGGTATGTGGGGCATCGGCGGTATGCAGCGGCCTGTGTCCCCACTGCCTCCGCCAACACAGGCGCGTAGAGCAGCGGGGATTTGAAAGGACACAGGCCGCTGCAGCCACAGTTCTCCTAAATCTACCGGCAGCTGCCGGTAGATTTAGGAGAACTGTGGACCCCGTTCGTAAGTACGGATTGTCTGTAAGTCGGATGTCCATAACCCGGGGACTGCCTGTACATACATGATCCATATAGTGAGCTTGGGGCCAAATATTCACTTTAAGGTCACTGCAAAAGGACAAGAGGGCACTCTTTGCGTCTGGAGGAAAAGAGGTTTAACCTTTGCATACGGAATGGATTCTTCACAGTTAGTGCTGTGGAATAGACTCCCTCAGGAGCTAGTTCTAGCTAATTCAGGTAACGGTTTCAAAATAAAATCTGGATGTATTCCTAAATGCACAGAATATTACTGGATATTGAGTTCTCATTAGGTATATTAAGCATCAGAGATTGTTGCTCCAGGGAATATCCGATTGTCTTATGGGATCAGGAAGGAATTTTTCCCCCTGTTGGAGCAAATTGAACCATGCTTTATAGGGGGGGGGTTTTCCCTGCCTCTGGATCAACAGTGGGTAATTGTGGGCATAGTGTTCTGTTTCTGCTTTTCTTTTTTTTTTCTTATCTATAGGTTGAACTCGATGTGTCTTTTTTTTCAACCTGACTAACTATGTAACTGCTGACCTGCATACTTGCACTGCATGACATCAAATTTACTTCAGTACCTTCTAAGTGTGAGACTCACGTTTCCTTTAACTTTGTGAGATGATGATCCCACTAGATAAAGATGAACACCTAAAGAGAACCAGTCACAACTGGCCTAATTAACTTATTTTAATGTTCTGTCAGACAGGCTTCCTTTATATTAATTTTTTTTCCGGCTGTTCGATTAGAGGAAACAGCCAAAGTTAATCCCCCCTTTCAGAAATACCTAACACAAGTATGAGGATTAGGAGCTCTGACTTTTCTGATCAGCATGCTCGATTTAGTCTCACCCCTGCTTACTTCACACACCAAGGGCGAAGTAAGGTTAAGAAACATATCAGAGCCCTGATTATGAGGCTCTGTAATTTGTTAACATCGCACATTGCATTTCTTATTATTGTTGAAAATGAAGTAAAAGAGAACCTTCTTTGCTGCTCAACATTAACTTGCAACTGAAGGGTTATAGAAGGGGGTCTTTAGGAAAGCCTTGATCTTGGAGGAGTTTTAATGCGGTGTCATTGTATTATTGTGTTATATGATATACAACTGAAAAAGTCTATGCTCAGATCCCTATGGGTGTGACCATATGCAACAACGAACATTGTAAACCATTTTTAGGCCTACATTTAAAAGTCTGAAATTATTGACAGGTTTGCTTTAAAAAAATAAAAACCATTATGGTAAGTAAATACTTTTTTTTAACATCTCCTGTCAGTTAGCAATGTTACTGCATAATAGATTGCATAATTTTGTGTTCATTTTAGAGGTTCAAATAAATGGGTTCACCTTTGGTGGGAAAAAACCCTCTAAAAGACTCAAGTAAAAACACGCCATCAACTCACTTTCTGACATAGCAGACACCTCATCCTGTATCGCCAGAATTAATTTGGCCTCCCTGGTTAAGTACTGGCATCTTCGCTCTTCATGTTGCAATATGATGGCAATTCTTCTAGACAGGTTGTGCAAGCAGTTTATAACAGAAGGGTCTGCATTTGCCTGAAGAACATACACAAAAGCACAAAACATTACATACCGAAGAGTTTATTTTACAAAAAACTAAAAAGTACATTATTTAATAAAATAAAACAAAAAGCAAAAATGATGTGCAAGGCCAAGCAACCCATAGCACCGAATCACTGACATAAGAACTAGAATCAATGAATTTATCTGGTTCTGAAGCTCAGCACCATCTTTAGACAGCCATTTGTTTGCCAGCGTTACTCCTGTTTATACCTCCTGTCAGAGCTCTTAGAATAATACAACTGTAGTCTGCACTATCGGTGGGGAACTGTGTGAGGAGGTTAAAAAATAAATAAAAACAAAATGGCTGTGTATCCACCATAACAGTATTATGTCTATTAAAATCTACTTGGGTCCCTTAAATCAAGAAATAGAGGAGAAACACTCTGAAATAATATTAGTCATTCAAATAGTGTCATACAAACATTTGGTTCTGTTGACATTCTCAATTTTCAGTATCCAGGTACTACAGCAATCAACAGAAACAGAGGAAGAAAAGTACTACTGCCATAATGGGGAGAGACTGTTTGCAATACTAGTGCACTACCCTAATAGGAACATGAGCACATTGCACGATACTAGAGTATTGACCACTAACCACAAGGAAGGACCCTTGAAGCTATCCAAACAGCCAAATACTGTCTGTATAGCCTCCTGGCCATTTTGATAGTTGCAAGAGACCTTCCTAATCAAAGTGATCGCATAAACAGGAACCACATTAACTGGTTCCTGATCCTCTCTGCAGGATGTGAGATAGAAGCACACAGCAGAATCAAACAAAACATAAATACCTTCCCGGCACTTGCAACCTGCCAGGAGAATATGAATACACATATTACACATAATACACTGACAGCAACTAATTAGTAATAGCTTTTAAGCTGCTTATAGAAAATCAGACAACGGGTTTAATTCACAAAGACACACCAGAATAAGGATCCTTAATTTCAAAAAAATTACAGCAATTTTTAGTAGAGTCCAATAGGATTTGGAAATTACAGTCACACAGCTTTTTAAACGGAGTCTGAAGGCTAACTTCTAACTGGATGCTGTGGTTAACTCCAATGCAGTTTACATACTTAATATCCCATTACACCAAAAGCGACCCATCATGTGGCAATAGAGCTAAATCAAAAGACAAAATAGTTTTCAGTACACATGTAGCCGTTGGCACAAGGGTATGAAATAGTTATAATAATGATCCTCAAAACTTGCAGTGTACCGTGCAGATGCATGTGACCTTCCTTTTAGGTGGAAAGGGGATTTCCCCCACATAACCTAGATAAATTCCCTAAACTGGGCCCTAATCCTAATCCTGTGAGTTTTAGCAGACTATATCCCTATGATTAGCAATGGTAGAACTCTGTCATTATAATGGAAGAGCAGCAATCCCTACATTTACCAGTTGGTGGTGCTCTTAGTTTAAAAGAGCTTAGAGGTTGAGATCCCTGTGTACACAATGTTTGGTCTGAAGTAGAGAAGATATACTATTAAACGAGTTCTCCAATGGTAGGAGGAAAAAAAAAACAGCTAAGGTAGTAAAAAAAAAAAAAAAAAAAACACAAAATGTACTCCATCATGGATAGCATACACACATTTGATCTTAATACAACAGTTAAATAGAAAAACACATGTATGTTTATCCAAAACTTTATTTTTTCATTTTAAATAAGTAGGAAAGGCTTAAAAACAGCTGTCAGTTTATGTATTTCTCTCTGGCTCCCATTAGGAGAGCCTCCTGTCCTTGAGACACAATAAGAAGTTAAAAGGAAAAATCAGTAAAAAGATCATAGACAGTTGTCATCGATGCAGGTGTGTCCCCATTGACGGAATTAACCCAGAACTGTCAACCTGCGGGAATTTTACAAAATAGTCAGCAGGGAAGAGAGGGGAAATCTACGCAATGGGTACACGGACAACAAAAACTTCACAAGGTCTTTATTCTTTCGCTAATGTATTCAAAACTAAAATAAAGTTATGGCTCTGCACACATTCACTGCTGTTAATTCCCAGAATACAAAAAAGGAGTAAGGGTAATGTGGTAACTGCAGTACTCCGTGGTGATCAATCAGGTTTCAGTCTGCCGAGTCACAACATCAAACCTGAAGATTTTTGCTTTTACAGAAATAAAAGTATTTGTGCCAGTTGTCTGACGTTATGGCCATGTTAGAAACTCCAGCACCAAAGTTATGAAAGCCACACAACAGTCTCCTTGCCCTTTCCAACACTTGCCAGTAATTCAGGTACAGTAGTTCTAATGTGTGACACTTTCCCATTCTTACATTATAGCTGTCGCAAATTCAATAAGAAGTATCGCCATATTAGTGATGAGAAAAGCGGAGGTAAAACAGATCTCTTGGGGTGTTGGAATAAATTGTTCATTTCCCAAAACTTAGTAAATTCATATTACCAACTGCTACATGAATCTGTATCTGAACCTTTAAAGAACAACTCTGGGGGAAAAAAATCAAAAGCTTACCCTTGCAGTGGGGCTACCCTCCGTAAGGTTTAAGTGCTCATTTTATCTAGTGAACATGAAAAAAAACCCAGATTTACTCACCTGACCCTTGTCCCTGTGGCAGTTGCCACTCACCTCTCCTCCTCCATGAATGTCCCTCGGTGTCCTCACATCTAATGCAGACCAATGGGCCTGCATACGACGTGATGACTTCAACGGCTCTTAAGCTGCCCACACACCTTACAATTATCTGCAGATTTCCTATGGTCAGATGGAAAAGGTGCAACAGATTCCTCCATCTACACTTAACTGTGTGGATGGAGTAATCTCCACCTGGGCCAATCTGTTGCACTTTTTCCATCTAACCACAGAAAATCTGCAGATAAAATTGTAAGGTGTATGGGCACCTTTGGACTGCAAGAGTCCAGAGGAGAAGCTGCAGGGACCAGTCTAGCAGCCTGGAGGGAGCGGTGAGACTGAGCATCAGGTAAGTGAATCTGCTTTTTCTGGGTCCCCTAGACAATAGAAGCACTTAACATTTGCAGTACAGGGGGTAGCCCCACTGCAAGGGCAAGTTTGTGATTTTCACAGATTTCTTCTTTGAGGAATTAGTGACCTCCAGGCATACCTGCCCTTAATATATGTATTGCTGTGTATATCGCAGGTTGGGAGCTTTGTTAGATTATGGACCACGCTATGCAGAGGGGCCATGACGAGGCTTCCATATAGATTTGCTGTAAATATATGCTACTTACACCTCTGTTTTTAACACATAGGGGTTCATTTGTAGGGGTCCTAGTGCCGTGTGAAAGGCATAAAAATGTTTAAGGGGTGCTGGCTATTTCTGCTTTGGATTTGTGCTTAACGCGACCCATTGTTGGTCCGCGCCCTAATACACTCATTTTGGTTGATAGCATGGGACAAGATGTTGAATGTTAGTTACATATATGTTTCGCAAGTTGCGCCATTTGTTGCACAGATGAGAGACAGATTTCTAATGAGTATGTAAGCCACTTTATAAATTCCAGGGTTTGTGCATTACACTGTGCCTTATTAGGCTCCGTTAACACATTAGCGTTTTTCCACGTGTAGAAAACATGCAAAACACAAAAACTAATACATTCTAATGTAGCGTGTTTTCATACCTGCGAGTCGTCCACGCAGCACGAAAAGGCACACAAAAAATACAAGAACAATATTCTGGGCGACTTCCAGCTATAGTAGTAGCCGCAAACGTGCCTCGACCGCGCATATGTTGAAATGTGCGTGTTTTCGCGCCGCAGAGGCGAACGCATTGGAAAACCGCTCTGAATTCAAACCGCTTTGTGTGAACGGAGCCTTACATAAACTAGTGAACATACTGTATATTCCACTACTGATTTGGGTATTGTTGTGTCATAAATATTACATGTAAAACTCAGTGTCCAACTTATCACATTCATATCACTTTTTTCTGTAAAATATTAATATAAAAATGGCGGAATTCACAAATGTCACTAAACATAATGCAGATCTGGTTATCGGCATCTCCTCATGCATGAAGCATAATTTGACACAAATTTAAGTGCGTGCATTTCAACTTCTATTTTCAGTGTTTTGTTAGTTTATATGCTGGAAGCACGTTATTCATCTGAGTTGCCCCAGTCAATATGGCCGCAAGCAGCGGCCATATTGACTGGGGCAACTCGGATGAATAACGTGCTGGATTAGTCTGACCCTAGTTTATTTTAATACTTTATTGCTGTGTAGTATGTGTATAGGGAAATGCCGCGGGTGGCGCAGGTGCAGTAGAGCCTTCTGGGGCAAATTTCTTACTTCTAACTAAACCAGAAGTCAGGTCGTTGGAGATCTCGACGAGTTGGAATTTTCGATAGAACACCGGCTCTGTGGAGTGTACAGCTTAAAGTGTTCCTATGGACAGATACTCCAATGTCGGCAGTGGAGTTTTGCAGCTCCCTCGGGTCATCTTTGGATTTTCTGTTGCCTCCCTGATTAATGCCCTCCTTGCCTGGTCCATGAGTTTTGGTGGGCGACCCTCTCTTGGCAGGTTTGTGGTGGTGCCATATTCTTTTAATTTTTTAATCATGGATTTAATGGTGCTCGGTGGGATGTTCAAAGCTTCCGATCAAAGTTTTGGATATTATTTTAGAACCTAACCCTGATCTGTACTTCTCCACAGCTTTGTCCCTGACCCGTTTAGAGAGCTCTTTGGTCTTCATGGTGCCACTTGCTCGGTGGTGCCCCTTGCTTAGTGGTGTTGCAGACTCTGGGGCCTTGCAGAACAGGTGTATATATACAGAGTTTATTTTGACACTGAGATTGCACACAGGTGGTCTTTATTTAACTAATTATGTGACTTCTGAAGGTAATTGGTTGCCTCAGATCTTATGTAGGGACTTCATAGTAAAAGGGGTGAATATATATATGCATGCACCACTTTTCCGCTTTTTATTTTTTAGAATTTTTAAAAACAAGTTATTTTCTCAATTTCACTTCACCATTTGGACTATGTCCATTACATGTAATCCAAATAAAAATCCATTTTAATTCCAGGTGGTAATGCAACAAAAAAGGGAGAATACTTTTGCAAGCCACTGCACAGAACGGCACGTTATACAAGCGATCCGCCTGGCTCTATAGCCGGCAGATCGCTTGTATGTAAACAGGCATCACTGCTAGTTTTTACATTTTGGCAGTTTCCCCGTGCGCGAGTGGGCGTGGCTGACAGGACGTTTAAATACGCCCGCTCAGATCCAGGTGGTTAAAGTGTATCTTAATTTAAAAACAAAAAATGTATAGGACTGATATGATAGGAGTGTTTCGCTTTCTGTCCAGCTCACAGGAAGTGACAAGGACACTGCAATTCTAGCAAAATCAACAGGTATTCTTCTGTATTTGCTAAATATGTTCTTTGTCTTAGAAAAATTAAAACTAATGCAGTCAAATCTAAGGTCTGGTATGCTGCAAAATATTACATTTTTATTCTTGTATTACCCCAGGAGCCTCAATATTCAGGGAGCTTTATTAAACAAGCACCAGTTTCAGCTATAAAGAGGGGCTTTTGGCCTGTCCTTCCAGTGCCTTATGACGGAACTGTAACACTGATGGGCCAACTTCAATAACTGATGCTGAGGCAAGGGCTAAAGTGTTGACCTCCTATTTGAAGTTCATATTTACTGCTGATCTCTGTCTATACTAGTTGCCTAATTGCTATGCTCATTCAACAGCTGCAATGTGGACCCCTTTCTAAAATGCTAGTTGCCCAATTGTCATAGTGATCCACTGGCTTTAAGGCTCTTGTGGTTTCATACAGTAAATTAAAGTCTTGGAGCAAGGAGGATGACTCTCTCTGAAGGTGCCCATACACCTGCCAATTATCGTACGATCATTGAGGGTGATCCCGCGATCGTACGATAATCGGCAGGTGTATGGGCAGCGTGCGACTGCATCTACTGTACGGTCGCAAGACTTTCGTCTTCCTAGCACGCTGGAAAACCTGCTGAAAATCGTACGATTTTCAGCGGGTTGGCCGCGTGCTCGGAAGACGAAAGCCGCAAGCGCACACTGCCCGCTCAGCATTGGAATCATCGGCAAGCCCTCCACTCAGCGGGGAGGGCTTGAGATGATCGCAAGTACGATCTGCCTGCCAAGATGGGCAGATCGTACGAAATTTTAATGACCTTACAACGAAAGTCATGTGATGGTTGTAAGGTGTATGGCCACCTTTAAGATGCATTTTTTAGGTTAAGTCCAAGCAATCAAAAATTACAGATTCCTAGCAAGTAGGAGTGAGGTTTTTTTAAATTCTGAGTTAAACTGCAAATTATTAACAGGGGTTCATTTATATGGGTGAGTAGGAGCATAATTAATACACAGCTAGAATCCTGTATAATGTGTATACTCTCATTCACAATAACAATTCTTTTCTTTAAACAAGGTACATAGCAGGTGCAATTCATACTTGTCTCAATATATAAAGTTCATCTGGTAGGCACAAGTTATTTTGAAGAAAAAAAAATAAGGATAATTAACTGTGAAATGTTTATAAATGACTAAAAAACTATTTAGTGTAAAATGTTGGAAAATACCAAAATTAATAAACACATGAGAACTGTATGCACTGAAATTAAAGAAGAGATGAATTTGCATTTCTTAATGAAATGAATACAGGAAGATAAAATGAAAGTTACATGAGGGTGCTATCTATGCGCTGATATTAAGCAGAGATGACGTTGCATTCCTTGAAGTTGTGTGTTCTGATGTGTCATGGTTGAGTAGGTGGGTCTCCTGATAAACAGGGATGCAATGAAGCAGTATGCTGATAAGATATGTACAGTCCCAGACCCGTCTGATCACCATAATGCACAATTCAGTTCTTATATTGCTGACTTAACAGTGCTCTGAGAGACCAGCCCAGAGTGACAGCATAGATTAAAAAATATATTATCAGCAAGTGTCAGTCAAATACACCCAGGCTGTTTGCCTTTTCCAAATAATTTCAATGACAGCATATTTGTATGAGTCAACTACAATTATATATTACTGTCCAACAATGACACAATTAGAAATGTAAAATATGTGTATTCCTTTTATTTTTAATTTCCTATTATTTGTATCAATTATATACAGTGTATCTTTGTGTATCTGAAATGTGTTACATTTAAGGTGTAACTATGGGCAAAATCAAAAACGAAATATATGTTGCAGTCTGTCACCAGCAATATTAACAGCGCAGTTTTTGTTTTTTGGAATCCTATGTTTAACTTTCTGTATTAGCCCTCATTCATACCTATATTTTAGGTGTGATTAGGGATGCCTGCGGCATGAACTTGCAATTTCCTGCATCGCAATTCCCTCATCTGCCCTTTTCAAGTTAATGATCGGTGTGACAATCGCTGCATTTGAAAGTGGCAGAGTGATGGCACACGGCATGTAATCATATGTGATATGATTACATGCGGTGTGCCAGCGTATCACATATGATACATGTCGTGTGCCAGCCCTCTGCCACTTTCAAATGCAGCGACTCTCACCCGATCATTAACTTGAATGGGTGACAGCTGCTACTTGTAAACGGTAGATTCAGGGTTCCTGCTGCAGGAAATTGCAAGTTCATGATGCAGGAATCCCTAAATCGCACCTAATCTATAGGTGTGAATGGAGCCTTAGGGTGACTAGTACTTTTGCTGGACAGCTTGGCCTGTTAAAAGCAATAGAAAAAAAATGGATATACTAACAAGATCAACAGGTAATAAAACTGTTACATGGGGTCAAGAAAAAAAAAATCAGTCATATTAATGCTAATGACAGACTTCATCATGTATGTAATATTTGATTTTGCTCATAACGGCTTTTAAAGCTTACCTATCCATTGAACACAATGGAAAGTATCACTACTCTCACAGAAGGCTATTTCTGTTCACAATTTAACATCTATAAAAAAGTAACATGTGTAATGTTGAGGATATAGTTCAACAAGGGTCCTACTTCTCAACATGTTTCACGATCATGCTTCCTCAGGAGAAGGGTTTTTTATTAGTATAAGTGTGCTTCAAAAAGCAAGTACGTAGACCTGCAGATGCAAACCCAAAACCACAGTGGGCGCTCTCGACCCTCTCTGGGGGGACCGCCAGGGGCTATATATAAAAGGTATGCCTTGGGGGCTGATGGATGAGCGGACACAGAAAATCTTGTTTTTATTGATGAGGTGTCCCAAGCATAGGTCCAAACGGTCTGCAGACTGTTACCCACTTACTTTTTGAAGCACACTTATACTAATAAAAAGCCCTCCTTCTTCAGAGGAAGCATGATCATGATACACATTGAGAAGTAGGACCCTTACTGAACTATATCTTCAACATTTTAGGAATATCTATATTTTTGAAGAAAACTACTTGTTGGATAACATCATAGATGAGTATTTATGTAGTTCAAGGTCCAGGGCGGGTTATGTATACCGTATATACTCGAGTATAAGCCGTCTCGAATATAAGCCGAGGTACCTAATTTTAGCAAAAAAAACTGGGAAAAAGTATTGACCCGAATATAAGCCGAGGTACCTAATTTTAGCAAAAAAAACTGGGAAAAAGTATTGACCCGAATATAAGCCGAGGGTGGGAAATGAGGAAGCTACTGGTAGATAGATACCAATAAAATTACATGAATATTTATTTAAAAGAAAAATAACCTAGCTCTGTAAGTGGAAAAGGGGGTACAGGGCTACATATCATGTACTACGGATCATTTAACCCATTCATGTTAGCAGAGGATCATTGTAAATGTATTGTCTGCACTGTATTAGCAGTATATACTCTATATAGAGTATATACTGCTAATACAGTGCAGACAATACATTTACAATGATCCTCTGCTAACATGAATGGGTTAAATGATCCATAGTACAGGGCTACATATCATGTACTACGGATCATTTAACCCATTCATGTTAGCAGAGGATCATTGTAAATGTATTGTCTGCACTGTATTAGCAGTATATACTCTATATAGAGTATATACTGCTAATACAGTGCAGACAATACATTTACAATGATCCTCTGCTAACATGAATGGGTTAAATGATCCATAGTACAGGGCTACATATCATGTACTACGGATCATTTAACCCATTCATGTTAGCAGAGGATCATTGTAAATGTATTGTCTGCACTGTATTAGCAGTATATACTCTATATAGAGTATATACTGCTAATACAGTGCAGACAATACATTTACAATTATACTAACATGAATGGATTAAATGATCTGTATGTAGCCCTGTACCCCCTTTTCCACTTACAGAGCTAGGTTATTTTTCTTTTAAATAAATATTCATGTAATTTTATTGGTATCTATCTACCAGTAGCTTCCTCATTTCCCACCCTCGGCTTATATTCGAGACGGCTTATACTCGAGTATATACGGTATATAAAATGTACATACAGTGTGCTTCCATGCTTTTATATTTAAACTTTTAGGCATCTTTTGTTATAGTTAGTCTTTTAATGTCGATCAATAAAATAAGATGATTTTATGAAGAATATGGTTGCTTTTCTCTAGTTCATGAGCATCAATTTAAAGCCCCTCTTTATCTGCCATCTGGACAACTGATCCCAGAATGTTTTCATATTGTTAAAATTCATTTAGAACACACAGGCCATATTTATTTAAGGAGGTACCCAGGCTGCATACTAGCAATTATATAGAAATTACAAAAATCCAAGCTTACCCTTAAAGCAAAAACCACATTAAAGAGAATCATTGTGGGCATTTCCCTCTTCGGTGAAGGATCAGTTTTTGACACCTGTAGTACAAATAAAAATATTTTATACAAAGACCAGATAATTATTAGAATTTTTATACAGACTATAAAAAGGCATCTTCTGTCCCTAACCTTCAATTTATGTTGGGGCCTGTTCACACAACATGCATTCGGCTGTGTTGGCAATGCAGTGCCAAAGCATTAACAGGGCAAAAAGCCTTGTTTTTATTGTGCCAGTTCACTGAAAAAATAGGTAGGCCGCATTTATCGCACAGCAGCTTGCTCTGATGCTCTGCAGCATATGTTGGGTAAAATAAATACGACTGTGGAAAAAAAAATGCAGCCTAACACAGGTAAAAAAAAACAGTGCACCCAAAAACACATTGCAATGCATGTACACTACTAATGCCTGGCCAATACTTTTGAGTTGGCCACACACTGCTCGAATTATGGCCTGCTGACTCGGCCAAAGTTCAAGCTGTGTTTGGCCATGTTAGAATTATTCCATTCAACCAGCAGGGGAGATTTCCTCATGCACATTGTTTAGCGTGAATGGGGGAATCAAGCATCCATACGAGCTGCACCAAAAAAAACTACCAGTGTATGGCCAGCTTAAGGGCACAGAAGCCCTACTTATACTTAGGTTCTGACTCTAAAATGCAACAGCAATGTTCTATAGTTATGTTTAAAGGCCAGGTAACATGCCAGAGAATAGGCACTGGGGAAGAAAAAAAAAAAATGATAGAAAATATGTGCTGGTCTTTGTGTTAATGACAATACCATATATTTTGGTGAAACCAACAGGAAAAGGTTACATCTGTTATGGGTGCAGCTTCTTAATATAGAGGCAATTTACATTTCAAATATGTGTAAAGAAGTCCACATGAAAAAACTTTGTGAAATAAATGAAAGTCACTAGCAGTTGTTTAAATTATCACAAATGATATGACCATGTAACTTAAATAAAATATAATTTATTGCAATAAATAAATAAAGGCACAATCATTGTTCATATATTATGTACAAAATATCAGTGTGGACCAGTGGTGGGCAACTCCAACCCTCCAGCTGTGGAGAAACTACAAATCCTATCATGCATCTGCCTCTGGGAGTCAGGCCTGTGGCTTTCTGAGTCTTGCAATGCCTCATGGGACTTGTAGTTCCAAAGCAGCTGGAGGGGCCGGAGTTGCCCAGCCCTGGTGGTACAATAAGTGCAAATTTATACCACTGAAAATGCCAATTGTTATATTGTGTAACTGGTACCAAACAAAACAAATTCCGTGTGCACTTCAATCTCCACAAACATTTATATTGGTTAACATTTTAAATGTGAAGCACATCATCATCCCTTTGACTAAATTTAAAATGTTGAAAAATGGTCTATCCCAAATGTACAAGAGCACCCCAGCAATCCAATCATTATCAGTAATTTTACCTGGCACAGTGCATGCTGAAGCAAAGTTGGATGACCCACAAAACGCACATTGTCAATCTTCAGTTCAAACTTTTTACCGCACATATCTGACTTTGTAGCCAAAATAGTTGCAAGTATAACATCTGAAAATCTTCCAAAGAAAACATATAAATAAAGATGAGAAAAAAACATTTTAGGGGCTAATATTTTTTTCTGTATTAAATAGATAAGAATTGTGAAGACATTAAATATGATATAAAGCAATAAAGAATTACATAGTGACCGCATGCTTGATATTAAGTCCATGCTCTGCAAGGAATCGTACAAACTGAGAGAAAAAGAGTGCTGTTATCAGAAAGTCATGAACACGATACACAATCAAATGAATTACTGGTAAATTACATGATTCCTTTTATTACTGCTGTGTACATCACTCAACTACGGCAAAATGACAGTTCAAGAGGGAAAAAACGCTTTTACCATGTTCAAGATGCCTCTTAAAAAACTCTGATAGCATTGCTGTACCTGACCTGACCTGACCTAGGAAGCCACCAATACAAAAAAGAAGCTGGCCAGTGAGGTTCTGTACACCATCAACAAATGGAGGGCTGGCTAGCCTTGCCTAAAATTTAGAAATACTTTTACAACAAACAAATACACTATTTTGAGCAACCCTTTTTTTGTTAATACAATAGGTCATTAATCACTTCGGGGTCAAACAAACTGGTCCCTAGATACTACTACTCGATGGTCCCTTCACCTTAAAAAAAGGCTGAGAGTTAAATGGACAGTTGATGATCTGCCATTAACTGAAGACATGCAAGAAAGGTGCTAAAAGCAGAACTCCAGGCAAAAATTTTATTAACCCTTACATTGGGGCTACCCACACACTGCACAAGTTAATTGCTCAATTTCATCTAGGGGGGATTTTTTTTTTAAAAAGGTTATAGCCGGCTTGCTCTTAGACCGGTCCTTCCAGTCTCTCTCCCCCTCTTCTGCAGCGGTCTGAGGATCCTCAAGTCATCACCTCCAATACACTGTGTATAGGACACGAAGATGCCGAGGGACATATCAATCGCTGCAGCGGAGGAGGAGAGAGGCTGGAGGGAGAGCCGACACAGCCGGCCAGCTTCGAGGAATGGGCGAGTATAACATTTTTATTTTAGTCCCTAGATGGGTAGCCCCACTGCAAGGGTTAATAACAAGTTTGCCTGGTGTTGTTCTTTAACATTTATCTGTTCAGTGTGATTTTCTCCAGAGACAAATTATTTACAGCCCTCATTTTTGCACATATAAAACATAAACAAACATATACACTGTATTTATAGATAGTATTATATTCCATCTTGTTTATATAAAATGCAGAACCATGTCTGCTTGTTCACTTGCAAAATTACAGCCTCTGTGGTAGGCCCTTTTGCTTTGTAAATACGTTTAGAGTTTGTATTTCTGATGTTTTTCTGGATGTTTGACATGGTAAATATCTCAAGGAGCTACAACTGAAAGGTGAACGTTATTCATTGGAAGACTATACCCAGTATTAGTCTTCAGAAGAAATACTTTAATACCGCCCTTCTATATTATATGTTTATATATGAAGCTCGGAACTCCTTATCTAAAACTGAAAAGATCTGGAGACCTTGTAATATGTTGCCTCCTGTTGTTGAAGAATCCACAGATAGGACACTTAAGGCCCTTTCCACAGGGGCTGAAGTGACTGAACCCCACGTCGGTCTATAGGGAATTGGATGTAAACTGACATGTCCTTTTACATCAGATTACCCCCGATATGGCACGATCAGGTATGGCAAAACAGATCTCTGATCCCTTTGTTTTTCCAGACCTGGCCAGAGTCAGGGGTAACCGAGTGTAAACAGATGCCCGTCTGTTTACACACAATTACCCATAGACTTACATTGGGCATCCGATTGGGTCCGCTGACAGGCAGACCGCCCGTGTGAAAGGGGCCTTAGGGCTTACTCACACTAGCCTGCATGCTAAAATACTAAGTGGGTTATTCACAAAGTGGCGAAGGCAGCCGAGTGAATAACCCAGCCGAAAAGTGAAGTGAGCCGAACGCTGTTCGGCTATTCACTTCAGCCTTGTACGGCTGATTTCAGACGTATATCGACTGCCTTCAGTCAGCCAAACATGCAGAAGGAGTTCGACTCCCAGTTATTGTTTAATGACAGATCAGTGTCCCCAGGTCACATGGGGACACTGATCTGTCATTACAACTGGGCGGAGCCAGCCATGAGATCACGGCTGGCTCCGCCTCAGCTGTCATTTGCGTGGAGATAGGTCGGCTTCGGCCAACCTTTCTCCACGCTGCGGCTGTGAATAAGGCTCAGCTGAACCGAACCATATGGGTTCGTGAGCTTTAATGAGGTCCGGCAGATGGGTGGTGTGATACATTGATTCAAAACTGTTTACTTTTTAAAAAAATTTTTAGGGAGTGTACAAAGTGTACACTTCATTCAGGTTTGCTCACAGCAGTGCAGCATAATGAATTCCAGTACAGTGCAAAAAAAAAATGTAGCTTGTCTCCATTTTTCGCACTGCATTACCCATCACACCCATGTTGTGGTGTGAATAGGGCACAGAGAAGACAATTGTTTTCTCTGTGCCCTAGCGGTTACTGAAAAATGCCAGTCTGCATTTGCATGTACGTTGGAAGGAACCTGATGTTTGCGTGTGTGTTTTGTCTTCTTTCTTGTTTTCATGTTTGTTTACTTAAAGCCAATAAAACCAGATCTTAAACGAAAAACCATGCCTAGCATAGAAATGTTGGCTCCCCATACTAATTACATTTATGACAGTACACCTGTCATAAATGTAAGAAACAGGCTCCAAAACGGCAATGAAGGAACACACCTTAAAGCTGCCCATACACCTTGATCATGGTACAAAAATTTTCGCCCTATGATCGAACCGTCGTACGATTTTCGGATGGCCGCCCCATCCTGCCCCGATTATCGCAAGGGTAATGAAAAGAAAGCACCTGGACGAATTGCGGTAATCGACCGCACGGATTTTCATCTGCGCATGTGCAGTGTAAATCATACGAATTTTGACTTACGGAAACGCCACCAACCTTGCGAAAATTGTACGATCGACAAAGTTTTCTAACCTGCTGGTTAGTCAAAAGTCGATCGATTGTACAGTATTTGCGGTTGTACATTGCCCATCAACCTTACGAATATCGGACGAAAACGCGATCGCATTACGCAAATCGGACAATATTGGTAAGGTTTATGGGCAGCTTTACACTGGCCTGTTTTATTGTCAGAGAGTAGGTGCAAGAAATCAGGACCCTCCCAGAGCCACCCATTTGGAGAATATGGAACATAGCATTATATACAAGTAGTTTTTATGGAATTTTTTATAGTAAAAAGAAATAAACAAAACATAATATACTGCACATACAACTACAGCATTCTAACACAGACAGGCTCAGCTAGGTCTTATTTTCAGATATTCCATATTGAACCGGCATGTATTCGCACATTCACACACCTGCACAAACATCAGCACCCTCATATATGTATGTACACACACACACACACACACACACACACACACAAAGAAACTGATAATATGGCACCTACATGAATAAAGGACTTAAAGGAGAACTATGGGGTTAAGGCTTTTCCCCATAGTTCTCCTTAGGGTAAGGGGAGGACACAAACTAGCGTCCTCCCGTCACCCTAAGCTCAGTATACCGCGAGCTGCAGCTCGTGGTATACTGAGGCGCCACAGTATACCGCGAGCAACTGCTTGCGGTATACTGAGACGCCGCAGCTGAATCGGATCCCGAAAATTATGCCGGGATCCGCCCAGCTGCGTGACTGACAGCTGGCTCTGCCTATCTAGAGGCAGAGCCAGCTGTACCCGCCCCCTCCCACGTCCGTTCTGCCTGTCAGCGCTGGCGGACCGGAGCGGGGAATCCAGCCCCTCCCCTGTCACGGCAGAGAGCTGTGACAGGATGGAGAGGTGAGCGAACGCCGGTATGTGTTCGCTCACCTCCCAATCTACTGAGCCGACCTGTGACACTCTCATTGTCACAGGTCGGCAAGAACTATGAGGTGAGTGAAAAGCACTCACCTCATAGTTCTCCTTTAAAATTAGGACTCTGTATTAATGAGCGGCCTCTCATGAGGATCTCCCTGAATCAGTGCAAAATATGTTGTAAACCACACTAATATAAATGTATAAATTAGCCAAAAAGTACTAGACTGATTAAACATGCTTTGCAGTACCTAACTGTACCCCTATTCACTATAAATTGAATGTACTTTAGGAGTTATGGAATCTTTAAAAATTCTTGTTACTCAGATGTATTTGTCAGTTAACACTGCTTAGTAATGCTAAGCTAAATACATGACTAAATATTCACCTACCCTTTACAACTGTACTTTATGTACATATCTAATCAAAAATAATTGCTGTAATTGCCCTAGTTATATTTCATTGATATATTATGAATTGCATAATAATATTTAGCATTTTCACACAAACACAGGAGAACATACAAATTCATGAAGAGAACATCTCTTGTAGAATTTACACTG